CAGCCTCCCGAGTAGCTGGAACTACAGGTGTGCGCCACCATGTCCAGCTAATTTTTTGATTTTTTTGTACAGGTGAGATCTTGCTATGTTGCTCAAGTTGGTGTCAAACTCCTGGGCTCAAGTGATCCTCCTGCCTTGGCCTCCCGAAGTGCTGGGATTACAGGCTTGAGCTGCTGCACCCAGCCCTGTTCTCATTATTTGTATTAGCTAAATCTGGCAATCCTACATATAAACAGGTGATCATAGTACAGGTTTTACAAGGGCCAGTGAGGGTGTACAGATTGCTTGAGGAACTTTGCTCTGGATGACGGTTAGGAGGGCTTCTTGGGGGAGAAGTCACGTAGGCGGACGTCTCGCCGGATAAAGCAGTGGTGGCGGTCGTCCTGGTAGAACAGCATGGGCAAAGGCAGGAGACTGTGGGGCTCCCGTACAGCAGTTCTGTGCTGCTGCAGCTGGTGGGTGAGGCAGGGAGAGGGCAGGGGTGAGGCTGCTGTGTCATGGGAGCCCTTCCGCCATGCTTCCCAGGAGCTGGGTTTTGTGCACTCCCAGGAGGGGTGAAAGAAAGGTCCCAGCCGGGCTCGGTGGCTCAGCCTGTAATCCCGCACCTTGGGAGGCTGAGGTGAGTGGATTGCCTGGGCCCGCGGGTTCGAGACCTGCTTGGGAAACTTGGCGAGACCTCATCTCTACAATAAATAAAATAATCAGCCAGGCGTGGTTAGCGCGCACCTGTAGTTCCAGTTATGTGGAAGGCTGAGGCGGAAGGATCGCTGGAGCCCAGCAGGTCGAGGCTGCGGTGGCCGGGAGCCGCCAATGCACTCCAGTCTGGGCAACAGAGTGAAACTCCAACTCAAAAAAAAAGAAAGAAAGAAAGGTTTCAAGCAGGAGAGTGGCATGAGCAGATTTTGTTTAAGGATAGCCATGCTGAGGATGGATGGGAGGAGGCAAGAGGGCCGGAGGCAGGGAGGCCTGGAAGAGGAAAATCAGCAGGCTCAGACAGGCAACAGAACTCACACGGGAGAGTGAGCCTTCAGCACGCCTGCCCCTGTCCCCTTCCGAGTGGGTTCCAGGTCACACGTGCAGTCATTTGAAATTCAGGAATATCACACCACATCATTCCTGAATTTTTTTGGAAATACCCAACCTCCTTTGTCTTTGTTCCCCTTTTCTTCCTGCTTCTTCCTGGCTAATCTCTGGTGAACTCAGCCCTCTTCTCAAGGATCCCCAGAGCTGCCTCTCCACAACCAGTCAGGTGGGAAAAGGGGGCAAGAGTGGGTGAGGACAGGGAGTCTTGCCCATGCTGAACTGGCCGACTGAGGCGTGGGTGCTGCACTTCACCTGCCCTGTGGCCGGGACGCCCAGGAGGAGCAAATGTTCCATCTGGGATGGTGAGCCCAACAGACGATACAAGGAATCGTGTGGGAAGGGGAGTGGGCCAGTGCTCCTTCAAGATGGCTCAGTGGCTCAGCCTGTAATGCCACGCTTTGGGAAGCCGAGGTGAGTGAACTGCCTGAGCCCGCAGGTTCAAGACCCGCCTGGGCAACTTGGCAAGACCTCATCTCTACAATAAATCAAAAATTAGCCGGGTGTGGTAACACGCGCCTGTAGTTCCGGCTACTTGGAAGACTGAGGCAGAAGGATCGCCGGAGCCCAGCAGGTCGAGGCTGCAGTGGCCGGGAGCGGCCACTGCACTCCAGTCTGGGCGACAGAGTGAGACTCCAACTCAAAAAAAAAAAGACAGGGCGTGCAGCCCTGGAGGGCACCTGTCACTGGTGGGAGGAGCCCTGGGTCAGGCGTCTTCATCTGTCACCTCTCAAGAGTGGCTTCTTCAGAGGTGACCTCTCTGCCACATTCCAGCAGCTCCCACCTGGCTTCCTTTCTCAAGGGATCTTCTTCCCCACTCTGACTCCATTTCCACTGACGGCTGGTGTGTGTTTCTGTTTACTCAGTGTCTCCTCTCCCTGCAGTTCATAAAGCCTGAGCGGGCAGGGACTGTGTGTGCATTTCATTGATCAAGTACAGTCACTTGGTTTGGTTTTGTTTTTTTTTAGAAAGCAAGATGTATTGAGAAGACAGAAAAGCTCCCACAGTGGGAGGGGACCCAAGGGGGTTGCCCGGCTTTAACTTTTTACTCTCTAAATGAGGATGGCAATACTGCTCTCGCCGACCTCACTGGGCTGTGAAATTAAAGAGGATGCTACACGGGAAACGCGCCCGTGGATCACAGAACATGGCCCACACTGAGCTAGGCATGGTGCCATGTCTATCTGAAGGTGGGTTGCGATTGAGGACTTGGGGAATGAGCTCCTGGAGAGGTGAGCGTTTTGTTAGATGTGATAATAGCGGACATGCTCAGGGTAGGACGCACACCGTGATGGCCCTCAGTGCGTGAAGTCAAAGACAGCCTGTCCAGCCTCTAAAAACACCATATTTACTCCCATCGTAGGCTTGAAGTAGTTCAACAGAGTACCCGTGGCTGGAGATGTCTAAACACACGTGGGGGCTGAACAGCTGATGACTTCCTTATATCAGGTGGTGGTCAAGTAAGACGCTCCTTGCTTGAGAACTGTGCAGTGGCACAATCACGGCTCTCTGCAACCTTGACCTCCTGAGCACAGGTGATCTTCTCGCCTCTGCCTTGCAAAGCAAGGAGGGCCAATATAATGTCTTCCCTTGCTCCACAGAAGTGAGACGGCAGAGGGAGGAAGGTGATTCCAGGAAAAATGCCTGCTGCCGCCGGCATCTCCCAGAGAGCACTGGGAGGCGCTGACTCTCCTGGAGTTCAAGCATCACACGGACACATACGGTATCACGTGTGGAACAGCTGGAACCAAAGACATGGAGCCGAGGGACACACTAGTCCCAGGCTGTGACCCTCCACTTTTTTTTTCTCTTCTAATTTTTATTTTAAAATTGTGGGATGCACTTCAGGTTAGGTATACAAATATTCATTGTGCAGGTACCCTTGTTGATGAGGTGTGCCCCCTTCCCCAGGCAGATATCGACTACTGTCAATCTCACCTCTCCCCCGCCCCACCCCCGCAGTTTCCCGTTACTGTCAATCCTCTTCTTATAGTAATACAGTAGTTGTTCAAGGTCCACTTATGAGTGAGAACATGTGATACTTTTAACGCACGATACCGGAAACAAGAAATTGTCCATTCTCATGGTCAGTGTGGGGCAGGAATCACTGGGAACTCAAAGACCATGTGGCACCAAGCCAGGAGATAAGTAGAAGATCAGGCTGGCCCAAGGCAGACACATTCTCCTTCATGAATCCCTTCTTGAGCTTTGTCCTATTTCAAAGGGAGGCAGAACGAGGTGTCAACACCCTAACTGCATCGGATATATCTTGCTGCTTGACATGCATATAATTGTGGCTTCACTGACCACTTGGCAGGTTGCATGTAGTCTGTTGGCTTGTTTTGTGGCATCCCTGGCTCTCTATGGACACCAGATTCCCTGCGGTTGGAGGAGGGCCTGGTTTTTCCCAGAACTTCGGCTCAGGCCCAAGTGAAGCTTTACTTCCGGTGTCTTTCCACAGAAACAAAGGTGAGCAGTGAGTCCAGGAAGGGTGAGGGAGCAGGAAGAGGCGGGATTGGGAAAGAGGGGCCCTGGAAGGGAGGTGGGCAGGTGGGCTGGACATGGTGGCCCCAGATGACAAAGCACACAGATGCGAGTCACGATTCATGGGCGAAGCCCAAGGCTGAGCAAGTGGGATGGCTCAAGGTGACAACATGGCGATATGGCCTGGTCGCTGCACGTGTCAGGAAGGGGAGCACAGGAAGGAGGAGAGGTACTAACTTGTCATGCTTTTTTTAACATAGTTTTTTCTTTTTGCTCACCCAGGCTGGAGTGCAGTGGCATAGTCACAGCTCATTGCAGCCTCCTCCTGGGCTCGGGCGATCCTCCAGCCTCAGCCTCCCGAGTAGCTGGGACTTTACAAGAAGTGCTCACCACAACGTCCTACCTATTTTTTTTTTTTTTTTT